CGAAACAAAGGACCCGCATGGTGTGGTGGTGAACGCGTTACTCCCCGGAAAGGACAATAGCGCGTTCGTTCCCCACCATAGACACCTGCGGTCCAGAGTTTTGCAAATATCTCAGCAACGTTGTGGTTGTATTTCGCTTTCAATAATGTTCTTATATTGTTCAAGAAATCACCTGTCGTCCAGTTCATCACCGAGTGACTCGAGCGGGCGCCAGTAAATCTTCCATTTTTCCCTGTCGCGTGCAAGAGTAGCCCAGTGGGTTCTGCTCGCTCTAGGGACCCTGGAGCTAAGTCTTCTTCATGTTCATTTCACGACGTAGATAGGTGTAGCTGGACCATTTGGAGATATTCTTTTCGTTGAGCGTTAATGGAGCATTCAGAACCAATCTTTTTTCACGAACATCGGTTTTGTGAGATTTGGTCGACGAGAAATTTTCCACGGACGTTATCAAAATCGGCCAGCATTCATTCTGCCTAACTAATGCTTGGTCTTCAATATTTGCCAGCCATTTATTTCCACACCCACGATGTCCCATTCAAAACTTCGCGTGACATCTCGGAGTTTGGCAATGAATAATTCTGGTGAGATGTTACCGCCGTGCTTAACCTCTCTTTGTAAGGTTGTTATGAATATTGTAGAATGGCGCTATTTTAATTGTGAAATTTTTATATATCTCATGAAGAGTTTCTATATACACAGTCTTTATTTGCACAGCAGGGTCGCCATCGATGACCAGAGCTTCCATGACCACATCTATCTCAATCCCAATCGAAAGTTTCTTTAAATAGATGAAAGTAAGACGGAGTGGTCTCCTATATTCCCTAAGCACTTAGTGGGTTTTGTTATCATGTGAATGTGGTGCATCGTACTAAATCCTCTTCGAAACCCTGCTTGCTCACATGACTGTCCTTTGTCTAGTGTTCTGTCAATCCTGTTTAGGATGACTTGAGTGAAAAGTTTGTAGACGACAGGCAGCAAGCAGATTGGGTGATAGTTGCCTATATCGTGTAGGTCACCCTTTTTGAGCAATAACACGGTCTTGCTGGTCTCCCACTGAGTAGGGACATTGCATTCAGGACACACGTAAAGTGTGAAGAGCTGAGCCAGCGTGTCTACGAGGACTGGTGGAAGGTTCTTCGCGTGTTCTGGTCTTATCTTGTCCGGACCTGGTGCTGTTCGATTTTTCACCGACGAAATGGCATGTCGGATTTCGGAAGAGAGAACCGGTGGTACAACATATCCATCCTTTATTTAATATGATGGAATGTGGACGTGGATATCGAATAGATCTGAGTAGTATTCGTAAATGATTTTCTCCTCTGCCTTTCTGGACGCTGTAACTGTAACATCTAGGCATCGGAGTGCAATCATCTTGGTCTTGTAATTGGCGAAGCTTCGGTGGGCTTTGCGAATGCTTTTCCCAGCCTCTGCAGCTTCAACCATTACTGCTCTTTTCTCTCCTTAATATCTTCTTCTATCGCCTGTCTGCATTGTTTTGCAAGTTTGAACGTTAGTTCGCGGTTGCCTGCTGTACGTGCAGTTTCGCGTTGGCGTACTATCTTGGATGTATCTTGAGGCAGACGACTTTTGGAGGCTTTCGAGCTCTCAGCATTAATAACGTTAACGTGAAGATGTTGAGTAAACCGGTTGTATACCTCGTCGATGTTATTGGTAATGGCATCTTTCCATGAGCCGATTAATGATCTGAATAAATCGCTGTTTATTATGGCTTTGGGTTTCGTTTTTTGAACATAGCAGCTTTTCTCCTTCCCGCGAATAATGGAATCTCACGCAAAGGAAACGTTGGTTCAATCCTATGTGGAATTTCGGGACAACAGCGACATCGATTTGCTAAGATATTTCTGTTTCGTTATGGTACTCACCATCGGAAAACTCCCATGTCTGGCGTTGAGAGTGGGGTTTTCGGAATTGTGAGTTACTATCGTCTTGGTCGTCGTGATAAACTCGGACAACTGTGCCCCTGTTGGTTCCATTCCATTCCTTGGATCCCAATGTGGCGTTATTCAGACTTTTTCTGACTTTCTCTTTTCTTTCTTTCTTTTCTCTTCCTGTGTCCAACTCTAGAGTTGAAGTCTCAAATGATGACTTTAAAGAATTTACGGTCATCTCTGTAAAATTTTTCCAAGACCATATAGAACGCTTCGACTTCGCCTTCATCATAGCTCGATGTCCGTATGTAGAAGACGAAGATTATCAAAGCCGGTATTGATCTACATCATTTTAGTCGTAAACGTCCATTTCGGCTTGTTAATTGTTGGAATGAATACACGTTCGCGGCCAAACTCGTGTTGAAGAGAACACCGACGCCTCGGACTCCTTTATTGTCAGATGTTCCAAGAAACAGTTCTTCTTTGATGTCGTAGAAGGCGTTGAATAGACGGCGTCTTCTCGTCTCGGTCAGTTCGATGACATCATACCCTATCTTTCTTGCCTGCATGACCAACTCTTCTAGCGAGGACTAAGATGCAAGTGCGCGTGCAGTGTAGGTAAAAATCTTCACATTAATTCTTTGCGATTACGCAGCTTAGAATGGTCTTGAGATTTTTGCAACCTCTCCTTACTCTCCCTGCCCAACTCTCCCGAATCACGGACTCTTCCGAAGTCAGGGGAATGAGGCTCGTTTCTCCTATTGTGTTTAGTTTTTTGATACCCACATACATCTTGCCGATCCCTGAACATGCAGGTTGAGTATACCGACGTCGGTAGCTTGCCAATCTTCTCCAGAGTGGACATGAAGTTTTTTTGTTGGTGGCGACTCCTAACCGCCTCCCATCTAATCTATCGCTTGATCGCAGGCCTTTAACCGGATCGACTCGTAGAAAACAATCCGGGGAAATGAAAACACATCCACACACGCATGTATGATTGCGTTCTCGTAAACAAAAAAGGCATGTCCGAAATCGGCTTAGCAGAAACAGAAGGTCCATCGCCTGGTTCCATGTGCGTCTCAGGGAAGCAAAGGTTGCCTTTTGTCCATTATTAATCCTCTGTCCTCCATCTAGGGAAGGCCCCAAGTTGCCTCTCGACTAACTGTCAAGAGATTCCTCTGTGAGAAAGTTTCCGTGGGGTTTAACAAATATTGGGAAAAATTAAGTACAAATATTGCTAATACTAACGAGATTTTTTTAGGATTTCTTTTCTGAATATACTTTAATTATACGTTTATCGAACTGCTTTTGATGGACGAAGTCGTTCCAATGTGATATCACTACCATTGTTTCTATCGCTGATGTATATACAAAACGTAGGCTCTTATCGTAGACATTTTTTTCAGTTATGTCGGTTCATTTTCTGGTCTGATGTACTTGTTCGCTTTGCCGTGTTTGGTTTACATGAGGAAGTTGCACACGGAGGGTCGATTGACATCCACCAAAAAAATTATCCATATTACAATCATTGCTCTAGGTTTTTTGAATTTTTGTGCCCAGTTTCTTATATAGGTACGTTGGATATTTATCCCTCATATTTTTAACCTTTCAAAGTAATCTTCATAAGGTGTAACTTATTTAAAGATTGTTCAATTAACAATTTGGCGAGTGCGTTGGATTCAATTTAGTTGTGTCAAGATTGTTGGAAGACGGCGTTGTGTATACCCTACCTTGTATTTTAACTTTATCATGCTAATCACCTCATTAGTGTTACACTAAGTTCAGTAAATTTTACATCAGCAATACAAATACTGTATCCGTCGTAATTCGAGTTGTAATTATTTATATCGAGCAGTTGGTGTTTTTTTTTCTTTTTTGATTATCACATTTGACGGCGTGGGTTGGTTTTAACTTATACTTAGTGACTGAGTAGGGACTGGCCGGCATGAGTTGACGTCCATTCGTATTCTTTATAGATCTTTGTTTTGCTTCACGGAGTCGTTCACTGCACTTCTTGTATTCAGTCGATACCTTCACAATCAGTCTCTTATCAAAGGGAATGTTGATAGGAAATAGAGTACAGAGACATTCCGACACAGGGGTTCGGAGTGTGTGTTCATCAATATGTTTCCATACTGACCACCTTTTGCGAATATTATGTGTTCAACTACGTTATGCCTAAATAGGTTTACTTTGTAGTATGAAGGATTTACAGTTTACATTTTCGTATATACTTCAAATCCAATACTGTGGCAAACCTTATCGCTGTACCCACTTTACAGCTTCACAACTTGGTCTGAATACTAGTGAAGTCTTTTAGGTGTGGTCGTAACTCATTCGCATGTTATTCATATTCATATTTTTTCAGATGTTTGTTCGATCATCATCATTTTTCTTCCAAACTGTACGAGTTACGTCGAATGATGCGAGATTCGTGGAAAAAATGCGTCTTCTCGATTACTGGGGAATTCAGGACTCTGCTTTGTCGAGGTTTCTGTTATTCATGCTCTTGCCTGCTTTTTGCTTTCGAAATGTGGTTACGATTAACCACCAGAGTCGTCTCTTCAGTGAGATACTGTATAAAACTATTAACATTACGTCCATACCGCACCTGCAAGATTTCTCGAGGGCGGCCTATATATTATATGACATCTGTGGCGGCAAAATGACACTAAAGTTAATACTTGTTAATATCCGTGATTTAATGGATCTGGGTAGTTCAAAGGACCGACCTATGTCAACGACAAAAGTCGAAGTCGTTGTTCTATATGCCAAATTGTCGAAACTAGGCTGGACACGTATTGCGTATGAATTACAACCGATGGGCAACAGTCGTTAGTGAGTGGACTACTCGAAATATCAAACGTACTCCAGGAAGACTACCGACCAGATTGTCAGAGTTGAAAAGCCTAAAAGAAAGGCATGATGCTCGAGTCCTTGGAGTGAACAGAACCAGCTGGGCTACTCTTGCATGCGACAAGGAAAAATGGAACATTTAAAGGCGTCAGTTCGAGTTACTCGACGATCGACAGGACGACAGGTGATGCAGGTGATCAGTTTCTCTAATAGTTTAGGCGTCGAAGATTCAGCCGGCGCTTATCGAAAAGTTATCGTCTATTGTGCATTATTATGAGCTAAAGAACAATGTTTTACAAAGCATTGAGAGGAATGACTTGTTGACTTTTCTTTTGAGACTGATTTAGCCCTTAAAATCTTTCTGTGTAATCTATGTAATCACTTTACCTTTTGGAAACTAAGAGTCTAAAATGGTCCCGTGTAGCCCAGTAGTTAGAGGTGTCCTGCAGTTCACAATGAATTGGTCTGCTGATTCGATTCTGTCTTCCAAGCTCACAAGACGCTCTTTCCCTCCGGGTTGGGAAAAATGGTACCAGACTTCTCCTTGAGGATAGAAACACTGAGTTGATATATTGCCAGGCCACTGAAGTTCATTGTATGGCTCAGATATGCGTGTGCTTACCTCGACAGTGCATGATAAAAATGAATGCATAGTGCACCTCTCAGGATTGAGCTTCTCTGAACGTGCTATCCTATCTTTTTTGATTTTTTATAAAATTTTAATGCGAATTTATAATGATTTTTTAGGCTGTACACTAAAACTTATCGCATAATATTTTATATATTTAGGATTACTTTTTTATTAAGTAAAGCAGCAAACAACTTGGATGTTACTTCAATTACACTTTTTTATTTTTGTTTGCAAATTTCTTGGGATGCGAGTGATTTTATGCGCTGCAATACACATGGGATCGATCCCCGCGCTTGAGGCCCACCAAGCTCTCCATCCTTACGGGTTCTGCAAATTGGTACAATACTTGTCTGGGAGATAGCAGCACTGGCCCGATACATCGTTAGGCAACCACAAATCATTACAAAGCCCAGATATGTATCCAGTCACCTTCAAACGATGCTTAATGAAGTCGAATGCATGACGCATCCTCAAGGATTGTTCAACGCCGGGAGCTTTATCCTTTATCACCTTTTGATGGTTTGTACAATACAGTTCCACTTATATCGTCGTTATCCTTTCTAAACTGCTCTAAGCTTAATTCCAGTGGACTTCAAGAATAGATCTAGAATGCATCAAAGAGCTTGTTTTAATATGAAATATAAGGTTCTTAGGTTTTAACCGATATTTCCTCTTCGGATCAACAATGGAGAGGTTTTATTGTATAATTCTGGTAATTTCTCATTCATATAAATTTCAGTGAATTTCGACGTTCAGTGTTCTTGTTGATGGTAGATTGGAAACCACTGGTAAAAAAGAATCGCAGAACGATCAGCCTTGCTTATTACAATTACTCAGGTCGGTTCTGTGAAGAATTCCCCGAGCGTGGAATCAATAGGAGGGTTTGGTGAGGAGAATTAGAGCTCATTCCTCAATCCATGCATTTTCTATGCAATCCTGTCACACGATTCCAGAACTTTCGAAGAAAGTTGGGGACTATGGTCTTTCCTTTGATACAACAAATTCTTGTCTGCTTGACGTCGTTGAACATTCGAATAATGAAATGGTTAGAGCTCAGTTTACTAAAATTTTTCTCTGAACTCATTTAAGGTGTCCAATTTTTTAAAATATAATATTAATACTTTAAATTTTCATGTTCCACTGTTTGGAACTTCGTTACGAGTTGTGGAACCTTCTGAAGATTCCCCAGTTCACAAGGAAGATGTTCTGCTTGAGCTAGGTCGTTGCTTTGATGGGCACTTTCTTGAACTGAGGATGGCTATGTTGGGAATAGAAAACGAAAAAGAGAGAAATCTTCTTGCAAAGGTAAGTTTTATGTGGGTAATAGTAGTTCGTGAACGTCATCTACTTTCACAATGGCTTGACAGCTTTCTTTTTATAAGCTCAATGCTTGATATATTTCTATGTCGATATAGTATTGATATCCAATGATATCAGCAGCAAAATACTGCAGTTATTTAGCGTAATCCGCCAATGGCACACTGAGAAAACTTAAAATATGTAGCCAAGAAATTGTAACAAGTAACTTACGAGATGAGCTGAGCCCAAGGTGTTCTAATGTACATTACTCCAAAAGAGACAGCCTTCTAGTTCATTTATCTTTGATTGAAACATCCATTTTCTGTCGAACCATTGAGAGCTGTCATTTACAGGAAAGACCAAAATCTCGGCCGTCATCAATCCCTGAGGAATGCGCCATGCATTCGACGTCATTAAGCATCGTTGGATTGGAGGTCATTGAATGCATATTTGAGCTTTACCATAACTCCAAGTGGCCTACCGATGTATCGAGTCAGTGCTGCTATCCTCCCAGACAAGTCTGGTAGCAATTTGCCGACCCCGGAGGGATGGAAGGCTTGGTGAGCCTAAGGTGCGGACGCGGTGTAGATCCCATGTATATAACAGGGTTAAGCAGTCGAATACATCGTGTGTATACTTATTCTTCTTGTCAGTCTCAACACCCATATTCGTATGGAATGTTAACTTCAACTGGTAACTGTTTAAAAAGTGGGAAGTTGAAATGAACACGATGAGAATGTTTCAGATAGTTAAGATGCCCGTAATATAAAACCGTTCTCGACGAAATCGTCAAAGCAGTTAGCTGAATAAATTTATAACAACAACCTTACGTTTGCTTCTCAACGAAATACGTTTCAAACATTGTTCGTCAGAGTCTTCCGTGATATGCCAGCTTTTTGAAAACTGGAGGAAGAAGTTGTGAAAACGAATTTGGTTTCCAAGACCGACTTTCTGTCAACGTCGGCATCAATCAACGGGTTTATGTTTTCTTCGTGAACAAACAAGTGGTTGTTAAGGTAGAAGCTCTAATTAAGAGTTGGTAAGGCTTCGGCGTTGTCGCCTTTTTTGAGGGTAGGACAATGGTAGGACCATGTCTTTGGTATTACCTGATGTCTTCGGCGTATTTAGTGCGAAACAGTGGCGTCAAATGAACGAAGCTGCTATTGTCTTCGAGGAAGCATTTGACTCTTATTAGGCACTTTTTGGTTGAATCGTGTTATGTACAGTTTTGCATTCAAAATCCAAGTGTGCTAAAGTGTTAACGTTGAAAACTTTTAGTTGTGAACATGTTTTTCTTTGGGTTTAGAGTAGGAGTTCTAGATTGCAAACCCCAGAATTCCCATGGGAGCTGACCGGGTAGTATCTCTCACAGCTTTCAGTAGTAGAATTCAACTGCTGGAATTTCATTCAAATTCTGATATTAGTAAATGCGACCGTAAAACTGCTAGGTAGTATTCATTAAAGTTAATGGATTAAGACACGCTATGTAAGTATGGCGTGAATGGGGTGCGTGTGGCGCAGTGGTAGAAGGCGGCAGCCTGCAGTACAAATGGGAGAAGATCCCCGCGCCCAAAGCTCACCAATCTTTCCATCCCTCCGGAGTCGCCTAATTGGTGCCACGCTTGTTTGGGAGGAGAGCAGCACTGGCTCGATATATCGGTAGGCCACACCGAGTCATCGTAAAGGCCTGATATACATTCAATCACCTCCAAACGATCCTTGATGAAGTCGAATGCATGGCGCATCTCTCATGGATTGATCAACGCTGGGAACTTTATCCTGTTATTTATTTTCGGTAAGCGTCAGAATGATCATGATTCATTCATATGTTGGGCTTTCTAACTTTCCCTAACTAAACTAACTAACTCTAACTAAAAAAAATATTTAGAACAATTCTAAATATTCGCGATACCATTAGATACGCAGGCACATTGGAGCGATTTCTACAACACTTTCAGTAGTCTTCTTGAACTTTGCCATCACTTTTTGAATTAAATGACATTTGCGGGATTTATATTTGTTTTGTAGTACGTATGTAGTTTGTTTTTTGTAGTAGTTGTAGTGTAGTAAAAAAGAGATTATAATCCAGTGAAAGAAAACAAAATCTAGTTCTGTAAGTAGGCAGAGATGTTGTTTTCAGAGCGGTGCTGTTTCCGCAAGGCCACACCGTAAAGTGGGCTAATCAGGCCTTCATATAACTGAGGTAATAGTAACAGCATCACAAGAATAATAATAATAAGGTAAACAGAAGGTTATCCGAGTTGTAGCGCACGATAAGATGACGTAATCAAGCGAAGGTCGCAAAAAGAAAGCATTCCAAGTTCTGGCGCTGACCTAGTAATGCGGCTCACTTTGTTTGTAGCTCTTATGCTGTACTGCATTCTGAACATTTCCAAACGTTCCTTTTTTGTTCACTGAACATCTTCCACTTTTAGTTCCAGTCACTGATTCGTTGGTCCCGTGTCTACCTTCGATGCCCTAAGTGCGGTTCTCCACTACGAATGCGTGTCAGCAAATCGGCTGCACATTGTGTAACCTGTTCTCGCATCTACTATCCAACGGTGAGTCTATGACTATGCTATTTGGAACATACATATTCTCTTCAAAACCTTTTTTCGTGAACACGCACTTGTACCAAAAATGGGCTAGTTGCCCACTAATACGATGAGGTGTGGCAGTTAAAAACGATAACCAATATATTTAAGAGGTAGCTGAATTTGTGGTGGAAAATGTATATATTATACTTGAGGTGACCATATTGCAGCTTTATCCAGTGTGCATCACTCTGGTATCCGATCCTACTGATTCTCATGTTCTTCTTGTTCGGCATAGGGGTTCTCCAGGAGGTGTGTACACTGCAATTGCCGGATTCGCTCATGTGAGTGATTAGACTTCACAAGATAGGAAATCCTTTATCTATTCGCATATCTATGTCTACTGACATGTTTTTTGTTCTTTTACATCTTTTGTACATTTTGTGCAGATTGCAGCACTTTCATTCCGTTTGTTATCTTGTATACGTGGGGCGTGTAGCGCAGTAGCCGGAGGCTCCCTGCAATACACATAGGGTCGATCCCTCGCCCAAAGCTCACCAAGCCTTCCATCCCTCCGTGATTGACAAATTGGAACCAGACTTATATAGGAGGAGAGCAGTACTGGCTCGTAACATCGGTAGGCAACCGTTAGTCATTGTAAAGGCCAAATATACATTCACTCACTTCCGATGATGCTCAATGAATGCTCCAGCAAGGGTAACCTAGGGTTCCAGAGAAAATCAAACCCGACTAGCTCTTGACGATGTTCATGAGGACAATCACGGCACGGATATAGAGATGCATCACTGGAGTCGGAAGTAACTAGTTTGTAATAACAAACATGCTACAAAGTAATGATATGTTCTTTCTGCAGTTGTCTCCAAAACGTTAATTCTTCATGTTTTTGACCAACGATTTGGCATACTTCCAGGTGCGCATGGATTACCAAACATTCATATATTTTGCAAATAACAATAATTTAGATTTGTTTCCTTTCATATCGCGAAGTTAGGTCTTAAAGTTGTGAAATGGTCATTCAGCCCGGAGAGTCGCTTGAGGATTGTGTCCGTCGAGAAGTAGCTGAGGAAGTGGGTGTCATCGTTTCAAAAATCGTTCCTTTAAACCGCAGCCAGCCGTGGCCGATACCAGAATGTTCTCTCATGTGTGCTCACTATGCAGTCGCGGACATGTCGATGAAGGTATGTCGTGCACTCGAGAGTCGGTTATTGTGAATCTGTGTAACACCCTGCCTGCACTTTAGATAGACGTCTGCCCTAATGAATTGGAAGCTGCACGATGGTACACGCGAGAGGAAGTGGCTGTTGCACTTCGGCGAACTCTTGATGACCCGTTTTTGAAGGCATGAGTTTTTTTGGGGAAATTTTTCCAACAGCGTACTTTATTTGTATTATTCCAAGTCAGTCCAGTCAAGTCCATTAACCACTAAATGACTCGAGAAGGTTCATTCGTCCATGTCGCGCCCCCGCTACACAGAAGAACAGGCTTCGTATTACGTGCTTTATTCGTTTTTTTTTTGGTGAGAAGGTACCATTGGCTAGGTCATTATGTTCCGCCGTAGAAAATGTGGTGTACCATCAATATACTGCACTCACCAGTTAAAGTCTTTGTTTTCCAGCAGTGGAGACGACTCCTTTGGCCAACGATGTTCTTTTAAATAATCTCTATAGGGGAAAAGTCAATACGACCCGAAATTTACAGCGAGTTTACGTGCTGAATGAATCTGGATCTTAGAAGGAGCACATGTTTGATTCCAATCCGCACCTAACCTCTAAGTTGGGAGAGGTCCGGTGACTGTCCGTTTCAGGATCCCAAACAAGAGGTCTATTTCCAATGCGAGGTATTCATTTTTCGAAAACATCAGATTTTTTAGGGCCAATCGAAGGATGTGAACGATCGCCAAAAACTCATGTATATACCACCTCAAGGAGCTATCGCTCACCACATGATCAAATCATGGGTGAATCGTCTGATTTAGTAAAACCTAGCATAAACGCTGGAAAGCGACTACTGTTATACGGACAAAGTTATTACGCAGTCATCCTTATTGAAACAGCAATAAATTTCCATAATGGCAAATAGTAATTGAAACTGTCTTAACACTGCTGCTATCTTATGTATCATATATAATCAAAGGTAGCACAGCCTCTTCTTCCTACAACATAAGTTTCTGTAAATATACTTCATACCTATACAGTGGAATACCCTTATTCACCGAGATACCTGTAAATGGTACACAATGATTATTTCTATCTACAACTGCGTAAGAGATAAATGTTAACCTGTTATCGGTCATAGTTCACCGGGAATGCTTTGAAAGAAGATGAAGTAGGTAAGCAAGGTACTAGTCAAATCTAGGTATAAATCTTCACGGGGATCGAAATTACTTAGACTCACCTACATTGAAAGGATTCTACTAACTTTATTAATGATTGTGTACCTAAATCTAGATCCCCAAACCAGTTGAGAAATGACGATCCACTGTGTCACAATGTAGAAGTATTGGTTAGAAATGCATTAAAAACGTGGACTATGAGGATACGAGGACTGCTATGGAAAGCTGTCGTAGTCCCACTCGCGAGGTACGTCATCACAAAGAAGGCCGTTATTTGGACATAAAGCTGCGTCGGAGAATTTTTCCAATATTGAAGTATCTTCGCCGTAAACCTTCATGGACTGAATGAATATCACACCAGGACGGCGCCATGCTGGTTCGTCGGCGGGCAGAACACGACTGTCGTCAGCTGAGTTCAGTCGCTCTACAATAAAAAGACGACAGTCTTTCGATAAAAGTGTACTATAAAATGATAAATAGTGATAATACAATCTTAACTCTTTTATTTACTGCCTTTTTCTTCTTAATGGCAGGGTATGTTGTGAAATATAACTCGTATATAGTGCTGAGATATTTGCAAAACTCCGGACCACAGGTGTATGCAGTGGAGAACGAACACGCGCTGTTGTCCTTACCGGGGAGCAGCGCACTTCACCACTACACCATCCGGGTCCTTCGCTTTGCGTGTATCTCAGCTAGTTCTATCGATCTTTTTTGCCATCAAGATAAGGAAGATAAGGTAAGGACAACAGCGCGTGTTCGTTCTCCACTGCATACACCTGTGGTCCGGAGTTTTGCAGATATCTCAGCACTTCATACGAGTGATAATACAGTTAGTCTTGCAAGCGTGTGATGTAAACACCTACTTTCATATCGTGAAAAGCTCCTGAAATCCTATGGCATCCCGTTAATCTAAGGTGGAAAACACATTGTGAGCAACATACTTGGGTATAAAGGGTATTTCGACAAAAACGTTCTGTACAAGTACGAGCTTTTGGGATCAGCTTGTTGCCTGAAGGTCACAAAAGTTGGCGAGTAGTGATGATAATCTGGAAATCCTTCAGCACGTATATCCCATGATTCTAGAGAGAATCAATTCTACCGGAATTAAACGACATTCATAAAGAGGACCAAAATCAAGAAATAACCGAATTCGCATCCGAATCTTCGTGGATGACGGATACAAGGAAAAGAATCGAATTCAAGAAATACTGGGATCACAATATGTAATGCTGGATCGTGTAAAATATACTCGAACCAGGGTTCACGGAAGGAAATGTTGAACTCTGTTGTGGCTTAGAAGATCAAGCTGGAAAACCATTACGCGCTTTACATCACAGCACATCAGCCACTATGTGACGGCAGATCATTAGAGGAAAACGTATAAACATATGCTGCAATCTAAACTCTTTTATTTACTGCCTTTTTCTTCTTAGTGGCCGGGTATGTTTCGAATTATAACTCGTATGAAATGCTGCAATGATTTTCCCTCTACAGTGCATCCACATAACCAGTGACAACAGAGGAACTTTCCGATCACGTCTAAAACTATCTTTCCGTTGAGGCTTGCAATTGAGGCACACCGAATGACACCGACATTTTTTAGAATTATGATATAGAACATTAGAAAGGAATGGAAAACTTTAAGAAAGGCATACTTGGAATCCATATCACCATAGGTAAGTCTTCTCGTAACAATTCCCTCCACACGACCTTGGCTCCTTCTTCCCATTCCAGTCCACCACTGACAGTACTAGGCCTCACTCCATACATGCATAACTGCATGCACATAGCTGGATGGGTACAGTGGCTAAAAATTCCCTTTGTAGCGCTTATCATAAAATAGCCTTGATATAGTACAAGATCCTTAACCGTACAATATAACAATGGTTTTGAAGCTGAAGACGTAAAAGAGCAGAAAAAGTAACAAACTCGGGATGGATTCTGTATAAGCTTTGGGGTAGAACGAGTCCCGTTCCTCCAGAGTCAAGAAATAGGACTTTTGCAAATTCATTACATGAGAGGACCTGAATGCATGCAGTTATGAAAACCTCTTAATTTAACAACAGGAGTACTGTTCTTTTAGGTAACACTGCAACACTGCTGTCAAGATGGATTATACCGCCCTCAACTTACACAAGCTCTAGAAAAACGATATAAAATTATAGAGTCATCAAAGTGAATATGATCAACATTCAAGCCATTAAGAGTTAAGGTAGACCTGCCGTTGTAGGTTTAAAAAACCCCGGTGTTGATCAATTGCTGAGGGATGCGCCATGTATTCGACTTCATTAAGCATCGTTGAAGGTGAATGAATGAATACCTGACCTTTGCAATTACTCGCGGTAGCCTTCCGATGTATTGAGCCAATGCTGCTATCTTCCAAACAACTCTGGCACCGATTTGCCGATGTCGGAGGGACGGAAGGCTTGGTGAGCTTGGGGCGCCGAGAGCGATCCCATCCCATCTATATTGCAGGGCATCTCCGAACACTGCCCAACAGGCGCCTTGTTGGAGGCTTTATGATGATAAAATTGTAGAAGAATAGGAAAATGAAATGAAAAGCAAACAAATAATCTAGTGAATAATTAATTACGTATTAACTTATGCCACTCACTATATAACGCACGCGCGTAAGATAGAACCTTCCGTTAAAAACTAATGGTATAAGCGAAAAGGACATCAATTATGTTATCATCCCATTGACACAGAGACGAGAGTATACTGATTAATGAACGCTGTTTGTGAAAATGCATATTTGTTCCCAAAATACACGAGAGTAAGTATCGGAATAAGATATCTTCGTCAACACGACCATGGTTATGTCGAGAAGAGATGCTGGGATTCGCACAATAGCTGTGAAGACGAGTCGTGTAAAGGAAAAATCGGTGTCATTACCACTACTCTAATAAATGTTATTACCACCTAATTATGAGAAGCGTTACTTTAAAGACTATCAGATAGCTTAACGCAAGTATTCCATAAGAATGAAATGCACACACTCAGTGTAAACCAGTAGACCTACGCTTCAAAAGAGGTGATTAGACGTCCAGTGAATCCTCAGTCATCGACTCGTCTTTATGTAGTCAGTAAGTTATTTTACTGGTATTTTCCCAAAAAGACCAATATTATGTTGTTAAATGGAAAGTAGCCACCGCTTCAGAATAGATTAATAGGTAAACTCACTAAACAAGAGATCACGCTAGCTTATTCATATTCATGAACTCCTCGAAATGCCACAGTAGCAGTTACAAGGATCTGCGTTTACAGTCCGACCGTTTTCATGCCTTCTTTATTAAAATTTCACAGGCAGAGGTTACTGATGATTCCAAAGTTGTCTTTCCTCCCAAACATTTACCACTTCATTGTGGCTAGATGTTCCTGGGTGTCGGACTGCACTGGACATTTCATCCCCCCCGCAGGGTCTCCCAAGCTGAGGACTCGGACGTTTCCCTCACGAAGTCTAGCTGAGAGTAAACCAATACCAGTATCCACCAGCGACCTGGTATCAAACTAGTTGCTTGGTGGCAAATCTCCCTCCGATCCACAAGGATTGTGGTGGTGATGACCTGAAGCAGATTTTGGCCAGGCTGACCTCGGGACTCCAGGGAACCACAGCGGCTAGGCCAGCGAAACTTCGAGTGGAGACTGTGCTGGGGCCTGCACAACCAGTGAAGAAGGGCCATTCAAGTATCCAAGTAAGTGAATAAAGTCGTCTTTTATTTAAACAAATTCTGGAGACCCGTTCCAAAACAGTATCGTAACTTTCAGTGCAAAACAGAGCCTTTGCAGAAGTGGAAAATGGTTGTGCAGTATCTGTCGGGACACAATTTAATTACAAGTGCATGGAAACGAGCCAATATTATCGTTGTCTAGTCGACTAACGCTGAAATAATCCGTGTTCTTCTATCATCTAGTGAACCCAGAAACATACCACGAATTGCTAAAAGAGATGCTCTCGAAATTACAGCAAAGGCTACTGGTTTCTTTTCAGTGAAACAACAAAAAAGACAAAATTGCTGGAAAACAATGTGACACTTGTACGTATCGCGAATGTTGATGGAACATCTAAATTGTAAACATTTCACCCTCTATGATTAAATGGGGTGTTGCCCTAATTGCCCTTCTGCTTTGAAGCGTCGGAACCACTTCCTGAAGAAATAGTTGAAGAAACAACATCAGGTCGAAAACATATGACATCAGTTTATTTGTGAGAAAAATTGGATTTCTGACAAACTAATCGCAAAGATTCGAACAACGCTTATTTCGACTGGGTGCTCTGCAATACCTGTGGGATCGATACCTGAGTCACCGAGTCCTCCATCCCTCTGGGGTGGGCAAATTAGTACCAGACTTGTCCACGACGACAGTAGCACTGGCTTGATACATCGGCAGGCCACTGCGAGTAAAGGCCAGACATGCATTCAGTCCCCTCCAAACGATCCTTAGTGAAGTCGAATGAATAGCGCATTCCTCAGTGATTGATAAACGCCAAGAACTTTATCCTTTTACTAATCAATCATAATTACGTGAAGACATTTGCAAAAAGTGTACTCCAAACCAAGTTCGAACCTGCGACCAGCATTTCCAGGGACTAATGTGCAACGCACGGCACCACTAAGGCCCTTGCTTTGTCTTTCTCTAAGTCAGTTGTATTTTTTGAAACCAATAAGTTTTGATTGGTTACAAAAAACGTCTCCATGCAAAACTTGCAACTATCTGTTTTCCAAATGACCTAATAATATGCAAAAGTCCAGGTATCATTATATTTAGGATAAAGAAGAGACAAAGGCGAAAACACAAACGCACAATGGCAAGCAAAAGCATTGAAAGTGTAAATAGCTAGAAAACGAACCTCAACACGTTGCCATTCTCCTGTAAACGCACCACGTTCCTCAGAACAACCACAAATTGCGAACACTCGCACGTTCTCCTTCAGCCATGCGGCACTGGACAAAACTCTGATGGACAGAACACATCTGGACAGAAACACTTCATACGTCACTAACCACTGATTCTTCTCAATGGGACTTCGATTCACTGCCAGTGAATAGAATGAGTCCAGGATTAGGGCGTATTTTCTCAACTCTTCATTAGCGCTAAGCATTGCATCACATTCCGATTGTAACTGTATGTCGTCATCCAATTCGAGATCACCTGCACTCTCCGTCCGCTCTATATTACGTTAGTTACCTATTACGAATGCTCCAACTACTATATTCAACAAAACTTCACACTCCGAATACCAGTTTCTTATTAACGATGTAATAATTAACCTAACTCACTCCGAATGGTAGTAATTCGTTGTCTCTTGATTGGCCTAGCATAAAACTCATAAGGAGATTGAGTTTGTGAACCTTCGATGTTTACCAAGTATTCGTTTTCAGAGGTACGATACCTTAAAAGAGAACTTTCGTCGATGATGTAGATAGGACAGAAACTTATGTGAACGATAATATTTTTGTATTGCCGTACTGGCCATTTGTAGAGGATAAAAAGGCTAAAGCTTTCGGCGTTGGTCAATGCCTGAAGGATGCGTCGTGCATTCGACTTCATTAAGCATCGTTTGAAGGTGACTGAATACATATCTGGGCTTTATAATGACATGTAGTTGCCTAACGATGTATCGAGCCAGTACTGCTATCTCCCAGACAAGTATTGTACCAATTTGCAGAGCCCGTAGGGATGGAGGGCTTGGTGGGCCTGGGGCGCGGAGATCGATCCTATGTGTATTGCAGGACGTCTCCGGCCACTGCGCTAGACGCACTCATTTAAAGAGATGGTAAGCACATTGTGTGCTACTCTGTCAAGTTTAGGGATATTTTTCAAAAACCTACGATTGTGATAGATAACATTTGAGTCAGAATATTACATTATATCTTAATGCATCCTCCAAATGGTTTACCACCTCATCGTGGCTGGGAGGTGTTCATGGGTGTCGGACTGCGATGTACAGCGGGGAGATTCGTCCCTCCGGCGGGGTCTCCCATGTCGAGGAGTCCAGCGTTTCCATCAAGAAGCCTAGCCAAAAGTAAACCAATATCCAATATCAGGATTCACCACCGTCCTGGTATTAAAGTCGCATGGCAAATCTTCCTCTGATCCATAAGGGTTGCGACGTCCCGTGTGGGTGACGACTTGGGACAGACTTTGGCCAGACTGACCTCGGAATTCCACGGAATCACAATAGCTTAACTAGCAAATCACCGAAAAGTGGTGATTATGCTGAAGTTCGCACAACCAGTAAGGAGGGGCCGTTCAAGTATCAAGTATCTTAATGGATCATATGTATCTGTTCAAGCAACTCAAAGTTTAAAACACCAACAGTATGCTGCTTGTACCATGAGCTTTACGTTCAATCTAAAAGAGAACTCCCAAAATCGTATGGACAAATGACGAAAGATATTGTCAAAGACAGGAGCAATAGCGATAAATGGAAATACTTAATCATTCACAAGAATAAGATTGTCAATTTTTTTAGTCTCCCGCGAGAAAAACCACTACATCCACCTGTGGAATGCGGTTTATAACATGATTGATACATCGGCTACCAACTTACTACTTCAAAGGGTCAGGATGAGGCCATTTCACACACCTCATTTATCCCACTCATAAACCTGTCGAGCGAACCAGTATGCTCCATCAAACCCTGTAGTAAATGAGCGCTGATCAGTGAACTCAACCCGCTCCAAAGGTACAAAGCACGTCACATTGTAACTACAAAATATTTTATTTCGTATTTTTCGTTTCTCTCTCTACTTCCAGCGATTTTAGTTTAAAAACCATAAGTAGCTCGCCGGACTCCTAAAGAAGAGAGAAGAACGAGGGGAGCGAAAAGTGCAATGATGATCTTCTCATTAGCCATAACGTAATGGATTTAACACTAAACGAAGGAAATGATAACTTCGTTGACTTCGCATCAATGACTAAACAACTCGTGTTCGAATGGTTTTAATACTATGCGAAAACATTTCTAACACCATTTCCATTTACTATCTGAGTCGACATGGCCGCCATGCAACAGCCATGGGATCGATCTCCACGTCCTACGACCACGAAGCCTTTCATCCCTCCGGAGTCGGCAAATTGGTAGCAGACTTGTCTGGCAGGATATCAGCACTGACTTGATACACAGGACATCGTAAAGGCCTCATATACATTCAACCATCTCCAACGATGCTTAATGAAGTCAAATGTATGGCGCATTCCTTAGATTGACCAACGCCGAGTAGTCAACCAAATATATCAGACCAGTGCAAATGCAGAAGCACATCGAATCTTGCATTTCAAACCATTATGAGTAACCTCAAACGCTACTTCTGCAGTTAAAAGAAGAACCGCTAAAACTTCTACATTGCTGTTAACAACGTATAAGATTGCTTATTCCGGTAGGTTAGAATTCAGTCCTCCTCTAAGTAATTAGTTATTCGAAGGGATTTTTAGCAGTTCAAGACATTCTCAACCGATAGTTGTCGAGATGCTTGAATAAAGCGCTAGTAGGTTAGAGAACAGTGAGAAAAGGAGAAAAAGAGGTGCTCCAATGAGAGTGGTGGATGAAGGAAAGTTTCGCTCGTAGACCACACGCTCAATCACGGCAGTGTTACTGGGACGATAGCTGGTTGGACTCCCTAGCCCAACAGAATTCGTTTGCATGACAGGTCGCCGATGCTCTACCACTTTTCGATTTCTACACAAGAAGTGCTTGGTATGATGATTTCGCCAGAATCGAGAAGTGCTATCTTGGATGGTTAAAGATGTAGACCATCAACAGTTACCATGACCTTCCGTTAGTGAAATTCGGGTTTAGAAAAACGTTTATAATCTTTGCCTCGGTTCAACCACTGCGATGAACGCCGTTAGTTGTCTAATGGAAACCAATTTTCATCATACATTACAATACGGTTAAGGAAACATCGTTTTTCTTGCTTAAAAAACCCGAAGATTTCATGAATGTGACATACATGTGAAGAAAAACCAGAAGAAAACTTCATGAATATGGTATCCAAACACCTCTGGAGAAATCCCCGTCTCGAGGTTTAGATTCCAGCGGTTCCTATTTTGACTAATAAAGTCGCGTTTGAGCCTAGGTATAATTCACGGACCGAAACTGCAATTATTTTGTTACCGACTTAACACATACCCATGATCATCCAGCCATTTCACTTCCATAGGAGGGACACGTGCTTTGAGAGGTGACCAGTCCTCCCATAGTTTAGCATTTTCGAAAGATGAGCGATCGTTTATAGAAGGACCGAGCCTCCAATCGGATGGAAACGTCCTCCGAAAAGGTGGAATTTCCTCCAAAGGTGGAGGTAGTTTAAGCTATAAAAACTAAAACGTAACGAGCGAAATACTTCGAGATGGCCAAATTCCAATGACAATTATAAAAAGAAAGTAACCTACCTCCGATGTATTGGAAGATGAAGAGGACTTTGATGCGTCTACAACACGACGGCTCTGTACACGACCGCAACACTCAGCCGCTAACAAAGCGGCGATAGAAATACCTCCATCAGGTGATGTGTCAGTGTATCCCTTAGGAATCCCAAACAACTCAACCTGCAAAAACTGCTATTGTTAATTCCCCCGATATAGTATAGAATAAAATTATGAATAAAAAAAAGCTAAAGCTCTCGATGTTGATCAATCCAATTGACATCAGATCAATTGACAGCAGGTAAAATGGAGAATGAATTTCTCCAGGATTAACTGGATTCAATGCCTATTTGTGCTCCCTAGTTCAGTCCTGTTCACGGGTGATTGCTGATGGCAGTGATCGATAGAACTAATTGAGAGACAGGCGAAACGAAGGACTCGTATAGTGTGGTGGTGAATGCGTTAGCCACCTGAAAGGGTCTTAACGTGTTCAATCCCACCGCAAACACCTGCATTCAGCAGTTTTACAAATACCTCAGCATCACTGTTGCTGTGTTTCTCTAGCCTATCCAACAACCGTTAGATGGTTACATTTAGTTCCAGTTGTTACATCATCTTCCAGCGTACGGCCTAGTACCGTCTAGACTCATTACCACCACAGCGTCCTTTCTAGAAGAATCGTAATCACAAGGCAGGAAACTTCCCTCCGATCTTGGAATGCCGGCGAATGCTGGTGATGCTCATCCGAGAACAAATTGACACCGCTAATTTGGGTTCTCAGCGAAAGTCACACTTGACCAACATTCACATCATGTCAATGAGGAGAGAAGTTCCCACATCATTAAGTTGTAGCTGAATCGACACCAAGTAGGACCAAAAAAACGCCCTACATATTCAATTTAGAGACACCACTTGGTTCTCAAACCCTCCTGAACACTTGTTACACTAGGCTTAGTCACTTTTAACATAGGACCACATGAAAAGAAGTATGAATTCATTCTACGAAGTGTTACTTTAAATTAATTTCTAGTTCAAAAACCTCTTACATGTGACAAAATGGTATATAAAAAAAGATAAAGCTCTCAGCGTTGATCACTTCCTGAGAAAAGTGTCATGCATTCGACTTTATTAAGCGTCGTTTGGAGGTGATTGAATTCATATCTGGCTTTTACAATGACTCGCGGTGGCCTACCGATATATCGGGCCAGTGCTGCTATACTTCCAGACAAGTCTGGTATCAATTTACTGACCCTGGAGGAATGGAAGCTTTGGTGAGCCAAGGGCGCGGGGATCGATCCCATGTGTGCATTGCAGGGCGTGTCAGACTACTGCGCCACACGAGCCAAAATGCAGGTGATGTAGATATGGTACCTTACCATGATTGGTCTTCTGTAGTCATTGTAGACAATCGAAGACCTCACTGTTCGTGTTTTCAGTAGCTCGAACGATTCAAGAACTTGACGGAAGCATGCGCACTGTTCTGCTGTCCACGCTGGCGTGTCCTGAAAAAGTCAGTGTTAAAATCAAAATCAAACTGCATTTTGAAGAGCTCAAAATACCTGGTTTCGGGGACGAAGTGGGCGATGGCCCATGCCGGCCAATGAAATCATGATAGCTTGCCAAGGGTGGTAGGCGAAGTCCATCGGCATACGTGCTAAGCACTTGTGAAAGAAAGTATTAGTACTCTTCAAAAATGGGAATTAGTGTATTAATAAGGTTGATCACCAAATATTACACTTTCAAACAACGATCGAAACTCAAGAAAATACTGCAAGCCTACATCTTTCTTCAACCAAGCGTCCACAGCTTCGTCGATGAAAAACACCTTTACGACATCGTTGTGAACATTAAAAAATGAAGATGAGAGCAAGAAGGTAAACAATCTCCATAATAATGGAAGTTAAAAATAACGGAAAAGCGAAGTATAAGGAAATAGCGTACTTCCAATATTCTACACCGGGCATACGTCCTCTCCCTTATGGGTGCAAGACAGTACTCGAATTTTCTCAAAAACTCTGAACCGCCTATACCACGATGTTTGATTCGAGGTACTAGATCACACCTCAACGAAGGTGGAAATATATTACCCGTTTAAACTGCATGAAATATTCAACAAAGAAGAAACTCACGGTTCTATAAGAATTAAACTATCTGTGATGTGGTTAGTAAGACGAACCCATATGCAGCTTGGTGATTCCGCATTCAGAACTTCAACCACTGCTGTACGGTTAAGAGGAATGCGATGAATCTGTAAATATCCAATCTCCGAAGTTGAATCGGAAAACTGAGTGGTCCTAACCCGAGAAAACATAACATAATCATAATCGCTTTCATTTCTCTACATGAAAGTTAAGTACAGCATTGATATATCGAGAAACATACGACTGAATTGAAGATTGGAGGGCGTGTATAACGTTGTGGTCGGAGGCACTCTGCAATACACATGGGATCGATCCCTGCGCCCCAGGCTCACCAATCCCTTCGAGGTCGGCAAATTGGTACCAGACTCCAGACTGTGAGGCAGCAGCACTGGCTCGATACATTTGGTACGCAACCGCGAGTCGTTGTAAAGGCAAGATATGCATTAAATCATCTCCAACGATGCTTAATTAAGTCGAATGCATGACACATCTCTTAGGGATTGATCACCACCGAGAGCTTTATACTTTATTCTTTTATCGAATGAGCCTCACCTCTTCAACTAAGAAGTTAGACACAGATCTCCAGTAACATCACGGAGAAGTTGCATGCACAAGAGGACAAGGTTTGGTAACAACTTCATATTAACAGGGATTTTCAAGAACAGCTTTGACAGCGGAACAACTGTCTTGTCAACAAAAACGAACGACGCGATTCTCAGTATCTTCCATCATGAGAATAATTAATAACCGGAAATTTCGAGCCAAACTTTTCTTTAACGTGTTATTTACTGCCTACTCTTTTGTATACCCTACCGTTAAAAATAGTAGGCAGTAAATAATACGTTAAATTGTGATTATAACTCCGGCCTCAGCTTAACTGGGTTCGTTGCCAATTTGGGCCCCTCAGATCAATCCCGTTGACGGGTGATTGCTGATGGCAAAAGATCGATAGAACTAGCTGAGAGACAGACAAAACGAAGGACCCGGATGGTGTGGTGGTGAAGTGCGCTACTCCCCGGTAAGGGCAATAGCGAGTTTGTTCCCCACCGCATACACCTGCGGTCCGGAGTTTTGCAAATATCAAACTTTTCTTCTTCACAATTACCGAACCGAGATAAAAACTTCTACGCAGAAAGGAGAAGGTCGTGAATTTTTCACTGAGATGTATGAATTTCGTTCATGAGAGTGAAGAGCGGCATATGTTCAAGGCTAAACAACATCGGATCCAACTTACTTCGAACCGAAAACTACCAACTCACACGTAACATATGTAATATCGCAAATACCACAGCTGATAAACCCTGAACAATGGAGGCCGTAACGGACGGTTCCTTATTTAGTAGAAAAAACCGGAGCTGAAGGAATTTCTGGTAGCTAGCGATCGACCTGGTTGTTAGGTGTGCTCTATAACTTTTAGCTAGGATTGTTTCACAAATTCATCGACAGGATTAGTTATCGTAAATTCCCACTGACTAACAGTGCCATGTATAAAGTGCTCTGCAGCGTAATTCATTATGAAGCTTCAAAAGCAATGAACCGATGGAAATCTAAATGTCTCTATGCCTTGGAGGAGTGAAATAGCAGGACTACACTCTTGGCTCTTAACCGAGATATAAGGCACACTAATTCTTCACCGAGGTACTTAATTTTTGAACTAACCCATCGCATCACTAATTCCAACACGTGCTTGGCAAATTCCAGAACTCAGCATTTCGATGTAGCATTTTTGTGTCGCACATCTTCTTTGCAGCTAATCGTACAGCATCAAGCATAATTGTTTCTCCATTAAATACATAATATGCAATGTGTGTCAGGCGTCGTGTTGAGGTCGATTGAGTTTTAAACTTTCTTAAAATGTTTCGGAACACATCAGGATATCTCATCTATATCTTATATCTATCTACATGTTATCAAGAATATTCTCGATCACATCGAGAGTCTTCCACATCCACATAGACAGCTCACAGTTGTACGCACCTTATACCAATAGCAGAATGTTTTTACCTAGTATTCTGCATTTGTCTAACACGAATAAGGGTTTAATTAACCGAGCTTGAGATTCACGCTGTGAAGGCAACATCGACAAGATCCGAGTGGCTAAGAACGAGCAGATACAAGCTGATCCAAGAAAACAGCTTAAAATCGTGTGGCATTTCTTTCAAAGGATCATGCCGGCTTCCAGCATTCTCACTAGGAACGCAAAGTCGTGGGTCCAAACTTGCAACTACAGCTTACGGATTAATTTCAGTACCATAGAACTGCAACTTCTCCTACTTCTTAACTCTCACTCACAGCCTCTCAAAGGTTAAGGGTTAAATAGATATATGTTACAGAATTGTCAAATAGCATACACCATTACGAAGATCCACCTTCGAGGGTCCAGCAGAACTACAGCGACGATTGACCAACTAATTACTCACCACACTATCCGATATTCAACTGATTACTACACCATTGAACTACAACGAAATAGTGAGTAATGAGGCACCGCTCAACAGTATTGGTGCAGTGCATCAATCGCAATCATCACTACCCAATTACGATGAAAAACCCACCGACCACAGAACTATGTTGTTCTCAGCATTTCACAGGCTGTTTCATAACCGGTATGAAATATATGTTGGAAATTTTGTACTTACCCATACCACATTAAAGGAAGAACTTGCAAAATATACGAACATGAAGAAAAAATGTAGATCGCAACGGACGCATGCTCAATTGCTCTTCCTCCCTATTTATGAGTGAAAATCTACTCATATCGGAATCTGAATGTTAAAAAAAAATTAAAGGATAAATCTCTCGGTGCTGACCAATCCTTGAAGGATGCGCCATGCATCAGATTTCATTAAGCATCGTTTGGAGGTGATTGAATGCATGTCTGGCCTTTACAATTATACGCGGTGACCCGTCGATGCATCGATTCCGTGCTGCTATCTTCCCAGACAAATCTCGTACCAATTTACCTACTCCTGAGGGATGGAAGGTTTGTTGGGTCGGTGCGCGGTGATCGATAGTGTGTGCGTGTGTGTATGTGTGTGTATGTATGTATGTATATATGCATACATATATAAATATTGCGGGGCGCCTCCGACCACTCCGTCTCACGTGCCCTAGTCTAAATGTTAAATAAGTTTTCTTCAGTTCTTTTGAAGCCATATACGATTTCAAAGCGTCGAGTTGAGAATAACTGGCCATTTTTTCTTAACCCTTTCACGACTTCGGCTAACTTTTCGTTGCCCCTAGTATATCTTAAGCTCAAGACCCATAACCAGTTGTGCCTTCAAAGACGACCACCCTTCCTTTTGTGCTTTTTCATTTAATAAATCGATTTAGCCTTACATCTTTCCACTAGTTTCTCCGTCTCCAATATTATATATAGGCTCATAATCCTTCCGTACACTTTTCTATGCTTTTTGAACATTTCCAACTATTGTGTGTGACACTAGAAATCCCGTCCACCACTCAGCCACAATGCCCCTTAATTTACGGTATTCGGTCCAATAACGTGTGTTGGGTAAACTTCGCCGTTACTATCTTCTGCATCCACGATCGACGTGTGGACCAGTGTTGTTCTCAACGACAGAATCTATTATAGAACCACACTGATGAGTCCTAACTCCACATGCCTTGTCCAATTATATTACAACCATCTTCACCAGCAGCAGTCTCTACGGCAGACGACCTCTCAGGACCTTTTATTCCAGAAAAAGCATCCATATCGCGTGAAAAAAACGGTATGGATAATAAACTTTATATCTTTTTATTTTCTGCCTACTATAATTTCGCGGCAGGGTACTAAGCGAAATACAACCACAACGTTGCTGAGATATTTGCAAAACTCTGGACCGCAGGTGTCTATGGTGAGGAACGAACGCGCTATTGTCCTTTCCGGGGAGTAACGCGTTCACCACCACACCATGCAGGTCCTTCGTTTCGCCTGTCTCTCAGCTATTTCTATCGATCTTTGCCACAGCAATCACCCGTCAGCTGGGTTCTATGTCGATTTGGGCGCTCCAGATCAATCCCGCTGACGGGTGATTGCTGTGGCAAAAGATCGAGAGAAATAGCTGAGAGACAGGCAAAACAAAAGACCCGCATGGTGTGGTGGTGAACGCGTTACTCCCCGGAATAAACTTTTTATTTATTGCCTACCATAATTTTTCACGGGAGGCTACTATGTGAGATACAACCACAATGATGCTGAGATATTTTTAAAGCTCCTGCTGACGGGTGATTGCTGATGCCACTGGTAGATAGAAAACTAGCTGAGAGAAAGGCGAAACGAAGGACACGCATGGTGTGATGGTGAACGCGTAGACCCCGGAAAGGGTAATAGCGTGTTCGATACCCCCACTGCATACACCAGCGGTCCGGAGTTTCGCAAATATCTCGGGATCATTGTGGTGGTATGGGTAGTGTTTTCTGCAAAATAGAGTACAATTTAGAAAGTAGTGTCTCACGGACCACACGTGGCATAACATCTTTTTTTGATAAGTTGTCTACTGAACAGAAAAACCATGATAAAGAAAATTTAGTGCCATAAAAAAACACCTGGAAGGAGAATGGACTGGAACCAACGCGTACTGTCCAGCCACCCATACTTTTGCATTGTTATTAAAGCTGAATTGCGTCCAATCCTACAATCGTTCAAAAAACAACGAGCGTGTCGTTATTTGCGCTTTTTTGAGAAAAAAAAAACGATTTCTTTCCAGATCATACTTATTATATTAGACGAGTAATGTGTTCCTACAATAACCATCAACCTTCTGCGTTCTGGTTAGACAAATACTTGGTTACTTGAATGACCCGTCCTCACTGGTTCTGCAGGCTCCAGCATAATCTCCATTTTTTCGGAGATTTGTTGGTTAAGCCATTCTGGCACCCTGGAATCCCGAGGTCAGCCTGGCCAAAGTCTGCCCCAGGTCGTCAACACCTCAGGCAGCAGTAGCCATCTTTGTGGACCAGAGGGTGTTTGCCACCATCCGACTAATTTAATCTCAGGACGGTGGCGGATTCCGGTATTGGTTTAGTCTCAACTGGGCTTCATGGTAGAAACGTCGGACTCCTCAGTTCGGGAGACCCTGCCAGAGAGATGAATCCCCGCACTGTACATCGCAACCCAACACCCAGGAACACCTCTTAGCCACGATGAGGTGGTAAAGTGTTGAGAGGTTAGACAAATAAGAATCAATAAACCATTTACCAAAAGGAAACTTCTATTGGTTTAATGTCTCCTCGAGGGCTGATTCATGAAGATGGTCCATGAAAGAACCAAACAAGGAAATTAGCACTAAAATATTAGGCTTGCGGCATCCATCATAACTCTTTAGATTCCGTTGAACCACTGTAGTGGAGAACTGTTGGAAAATTGAAAAAAAGCATAAAGAAATAACGCACATGTGGCCTGTCCGGATCAAACCATCTTCTACACCAATGCCAGACCTTAGTTCGAAAATATTTTAAAACTTGTAAGGAATGAAAAACGAAACTACGCCTCGTTCATTTTGTTAACAATCTCACCACGAATGACACCTATAGGCGTCATAATGGTTTTGTAGGAGCGGCCAGTTAGATATCAACAGGCGTCACTTTCTTCCCGGCGGTTCATTTTGGTGCATAGTTTTTTTTCCTATACCTTTTGTAATCAATCGATAGTCTGTCCAGCGCAGATGCTGTGGCTAGCGTCATCCATAGGAGGATGTCTTAATAATTTTCTCACTAAATTTCTCATTTCGAGGCGATAGACTGTTGCTGTTGAAGGAAGTGTCCGGCTCACAGAATGCGGCAGTGAAATGGCACAGAAATGCCTCTGCCTCGAAGATGGCAACGCATGCAGTGTGCAGCATAATTTTCGACAAGCAATTCGTTGTTTTCTAATCAATCTATATGATGACTTTTGGGTATTTGTGGGTACATTGTGGTTGTATTTCGCTTAGTAACCTGCCATGAAAATTATAGAAGGCAGAAAACAAAACGTTAAAACATTGTGATTTCAACTACAGCCATAGCTTAACTGGGTTCTATGCCGATTTGCGCTCTCCAGATCAACCCCGCTGACGGGTGATTGCTGTGGCAAAAAGATCGATAGAAATAGCTGAGAGACGTGCGAAACAAAGGACCCGCATGGTGTGGTGGTGAACGCGTTACTCCCCGGAAAGGATAATAGCGCGTTCGTTCCCCACCATAGACACCTGCGGTCCAGAGTTTTGCAAATATCTCAGCAACATTGTGGTTGTATTTTGGGTATTTATTTAAGTGAGAGGATGTAAAAGCTAAAAGGCAATCATCGTAATATTCTTTGAAAAACTTATACAACTTCATTATATGCTGACAGCGGTATGATCAAATAGTGGACGAGTGTGAAAATCGAACTTTGATTCATGAGTTGAAACTTGACCATAAAGAACACTGGTAGTTCGAAATCTCGCCGAAGCTTTTGAATACAAAACATGCTAAAAAAATAATGGTCCATAAGATTTTGTACTGAAGGTAAATTTTCACGGAGAACGTCCGTCGTGAATTTCTATCAACAGTTTTCGAGAATCACCTGAACCCAATAATGAACTCTGCCTTCAAAAACTATTTGAGAACTCCTAGAATAAGCCATCAGAAAGCTCGACGATTTGGTACCCCATGAACGGAACGAATGGCAGCAAGAGCGTCTTCATGAAGTCCGCTCTGCGATACCTTTACTCTATAAAATGACTCAGATCATGATATCCTGTGATATGTGATAAGAAATGGGTTCTCTATGACATCGAAGATGTTCGAATCAGTACATGAACCGAAATGAAACCTTCAAGCACCTTCCGGGGGCTAATTTATACAAAAAGATGGCTATGGTGACATTTTCGCTCTCCACACAGTGAATCCAACATAGGTTTGAATCTTTCAAAAACGATTACAGCTCAGAGATGTTATCATGTAATCGACAAAATCCTCCAAAACTATGGCATATCTATTCATTAATGGGCAACAGAAATGTTCTAATAATATATCATGACAATGGTCAACAAAACGTTGTACAAGTAACGCTGAAGAGGTTGGACGACTTGGGTTACGAAACCTTATCCGCCATACTCATCGAAGCGCTCTCTTACCAGTTATCATTTTTTCCACTGCTTGAGTTGAGCTGTTTTTCAAAGCCATCGTTCAAAAGCTGTCATTGCCTCTGAACTAGCCTGATGTAAGCTTTCAAGTAGCGACCTTAGAATCTATAATCCCACTGACCATCGAGCGACTCCAGTGAAGACCAGTTAGAAGCTTCATTCGTACGCGCCGCACAACAAGAATTCGCAATTGGTCTTTCTGCTCGAGAGATTCGAACAGGTCTAATCTTAGTTTGACGAAATTTGCCTTCTTTAGGAGGAACGCAGAGGTATTTTCGCAAAAGTTTATATGCTCATGGATAGAAGTTTGGAGCTTATTCCTGTTCAACAGTGTTCCTAGCTCACGTTGAACAACACTTCCTCCCGGGACACACCGTTGCCCTACAGTGCAGCTCGTCACTTAGCTCTTAGGAACTTTCATAATGACGTAGTGAAACATCGCCGGTGTTCAACTTTAACTGTGTAAGATAACAAATGGAACAAATAAGAAAAAGAACGAGAAACCTCAAGAATGTAAATGTTTTCTTGTCTAATCTTACCACCAGAAATTGGCAAGTTGTTTCTTCAGAAAAACCTGTCTTCCAGTCCAAGCTCACGGTTCATCTAAGACCCCACACATGGTTTCCTTCAACAGTCCATTTCAGTGAACTAAACGAGCCCCAGCTCGTCATCATTCACTTACTTCTCGATCTTCGTTCATGATAGTGACTCGTACTGAGCACATCTAAGTCTGCGAGTATCAATGTTTCAACCATAAGTCGTTCTCTTATGAGCACATTTGCCTGACTGCATTCAAAAACACATCCACCTATTCTACACATGGTCGTCTTAGGTAGAGGGCTAACAGCCTTGCATTAAATGCCTTCCTCCATTCGGCTCATCTCATTGCCACCTCGGTAAGATTTGAACAGCGTAGCACTTACTTGTGCGTTCGCTGCTCTGCATAAGAAACTGCGAGGCAAATCACGCATTAGAGCAAACGTATACTAACAGATCTGTCCCGACATAAGTTGTGTACGACTCACGTGTCCTCTAAAACAACCGTGCTCCCCCAATATTACCAGCGCATAACGAGCTCTAGTGCTTAAAGTAACAACCATTAAAATTATGAATCTTTAAAAACAATGTACAATACTTACCCTACTGATAAGCTAAAACGTTACTGACAAGTTATTTTTCTATGAATAAGCCTTGAAATATAATATGGAACCTACCCTGTTGTACAGTGGTAAAATTACGACTTCTCTGAGCTCATGAAACTTTCTATTTTTTGTCGAGGATTACATCTCTAAAGTCTATGCGACATGGCAAGAATAATTCTGTTCAGCAAGCTAATGTCCCTTAATGTCCCGCTAATGCTTACAGCTTCCTTTCTGGTTCTTAAAAAAAAAACTTGAAAACATAGTTATTGTCAATTCTTTGAAAATATGATCGTTAAAGAAATTCAAGACCTAAATAAAATAGCATTAAGACTACCCATACTTGAGGACATATTGGTCCATTTTGGCGCTACATAACCCTATCTGCAAGTGGTCGAAGCCAAATTATCAAATCCTCAACGCTAGTTAGCCGGATATTAGGCACCCTCTCACCCCGCCACTACATAACAATTAGGCATCCACACCAAAATGTTAGTTGCATCTTCGAATCAAATGTGACAAGATCTATGTTAAGAAGCATCTTCACCAGAATGATAAGTACCGAGAATCTCCTTCTACAGCCTCTACAGTCACCTATCATAGCTGAAAAGCATTGGCTGGAAATAAAGGCCAGATAAAATAGACTACGTACTTTCCCTATGCCAGTCTCCTTTTGCAGACCGTTCCTATACATTTGTGAGTGTCTCGCTCCTTTCATAAAGACTGGGGAACTCGGACGCTCTTTCGCAAGAGTACCCAACATTCTGCTTAATGGAAACTAATCAATACAATAACAATTCCAACTGATCTCCAAATTCACTGCCTTCATCAAGAAAATGTATAGTGCGAGACTACACAATTCGCTAAGTTAAGAGATCTCCATAAAATATTTTTCTTCATACGCAATCGTAGATATAAGAAAAGGTTATCGAAGTTCTTACTTGCAAATATTGAGTAAACTAAACAGTCACGTCAATATGTAACAAAAAACACTTATTACTTAAAATTTTAATCTAGTTCTTAGCAGTTGAAAGGAATGCTACAAGCCCTGCAGATCCAATGACAGAGAGAAGAGAATTGAAAATAGGGGTTAGGTTCCCAAGAAGGAAGAAAGCTAAAAACAACATGATCGAAAGAAAAAGTACATTGGTGAAAAAGATCGATAGATAGGTTGCTTCCGAATCCGCCACCTCGTTTTTGCGAAAAAGGGCTCGCTCCTGGAATCACGCGGATTTGAAATTCAACAAAAATTTAACAACTACGATCACGCCGTTGTAAACAAGAAGATGCGGATCGTATGAGCAGGTTAAGCATTTAAAATACAAAAGTAAATTAGGCGTACTACTGAATAGTGAAAGTGGAATGCTAAAATGTTAATAAAATCCCTAACTATTACTCAAATATTTTACAATATCTCTTACTTCTCCTCTCAACGGTTTACCCCTCATCGTGGCTGGGAGGTGTTCTTGGTGTCAGGCTGCGATGTACAGTGGGGAGATTCATCTCCCGGTAGGGTCTCCCAAGCTGAGGAGTTCGTTTCCATCAGGAAGCCTAGCTAAGAGTAAACTAATACCAGGAACCACCACCATCCTAGTATCAAACTAGTCGCATGGTGACAAATCTCCCTCTGATCCACAAGGGCGGCGGCTACTTGTGGTGGTCATGACCCAGGGCAGACTGGCTGAGCTGACCACGGGACTCTAGGAAACCAAAGTAGCTACATCAGTAAAACTCCGAAATGAAGGAAATTATGCTGAGACCCACAGGACAAGCGAAGACGGGCCATCCAAGTATCCGAGTAAGTTTTACTTCTGCGATGTTTCTAAACTATTTTATTGCAAAAAAAAAAAAATGGAGTTAGAACCAACTTCTACTTTCTACCTATCAGGAAACACTATTTTAACCACGCTGCATCCGACCCTGATACCAAGAACCATACGAAATTGCATGCAGAATACGAAATAGGTAAGCACAAACCTCTTTTTCCTTAGTGCTCATTTTCTTATCGTTTGCGTATTTCTGATTAATTTCTCTATCGACAGCAGAGCCACGTTTCATGACTATCCTTCAAAACAAGCCTCATTTAACAAAATAAATGGTTAAAGAGAACAGTAAAATATCCTACTGATGCTTCAATAGCCTTTTCTGATTCTTACACGCCATAGAGAGAAAATACGTTGATGCAACAGCAGAAATTATCCATACAATCCATGACTCAGATACCTGAAACAGAATGGTTAGACATAGAGGATACCAAAGTGCTGCTTCGAAAATAATCGGTCTTATTTGTCACAAGAAAATAATATGTCACAGATCACATTAGGATAGGTAATCTGCAAGAAAATTCAAGGCTAACCGTATTAGGAGGCATAACTCTCCCTGACGGTGCGCGCTCGTTATTAGAATTGGGGCCGAGTTTCTCACCATCTAAACCCATTTCTAAGATAACCTTGCGTAGGGTCGCATGTGGTTTACATGAACTTCAAGATAGACTCCGCAAAAAAGCTAGAGATGAAGCGCTAAATAGGTGCGAACAACGTCAAGTGGGGGCCCTACCAATAGCACCATTTCCCCCAACGTTCTTTAGACAGCAAGAGCCCAATAATGAAATTGATGTTAAATTTCGGATGTTTGCGAATGAAACTCTCAAACTCCTTAATCACTATCGCGCGAAAAGATACAGCTCCAACCTCACTCCAGTGCAAAAACGTGGTATGCGAGAGGTACGAGACCTGATAAGGTTGAAAACCATAAGACTTTCCGTTAGTGATAAGGGTGGAGAGTTTGTCGTAATTCCTCATCAGTTGGATGTGGAGATAACGAAAAAGCATCTTGAAGATGCTTCGCTTTATCGACCATCGTCTGAGGAGGAATTTAAAAGAAAATACCGAAAACTGAACCACGAATGGGCCAAAATGGCAAGGGCTGCTGGTTTGAAACCATCCGTTA